ATAATATATATATAACCATATTATATACGTAGATTTAAGGAAACATTCTTAAATAAAAATATTAAAAATTGTTGCAACAATAAAAGAGAAGTTGATTAAATGAATCAAAATAAACGACCTAAGAAAAATTTATACTATCATATTTATCCAAATCAAGATTTTTCCATTCAGGATCCGACTCTCCGCATGACGAATCCGAAATATGGACTCGCGCCTACGATAACCTGAAGAACCTCGCCGCCCAAAGCAGCACCAAACTCACCGCCGCCGCCGCCGCTTCAGTAGTAAAGTCTCCATTTTCCGGCGTCGGCGGAGGCTGCTGTACCATCTTCGACATCGTTGAAACCAAAATTCAGCGAGCAGTGAGAATGTCGGCCGCTGTGAAGCTCACCTCTCGCGCCCTCCTCAGCGGCGCTCTGCTTCCCCGCGATCACCTCCAGGTAGCGTTTCCACCACCAGCTGCAACTGCTCTTCCAACCGTCTGGACGCTCGCCGCCTTGCTTGACGCCATAGAATCCGGTGGAAGCTCTGCTGCGGCGGCGGCGGTGCCGAGGGGGAGAAAGGTGGGATTTTGGTGGCTGAGAAAGGAAGGAGTGGAGCTTTTGATTGAAGCGGTGAGGGCTTACGGTGTGGCGGCGAGGAAGAAACCGAAATTGGATGGAGTTATGAAGTCAGAGTCGGCTTTTGAAGATGGTGGAGAAATGGGGGTGAGCAGGGGAAGTGAGAGGTGGAGGCAGAGGAGAAGTTGGAGATGTATGGAATACTAATTAATTGCTGCTTAATTTTATGGATGATCAAGATTAGCGTTTGTAATTTGTTGGAACTTCTGTAAATTAAGTTTTTAATGGTAAGTTTAGGTTTTTCTTTAGTTGTATGATGTGAATGTTTAGTTTTTTTTGTTCTTCTTAACTAGTTTTAATTTTAGTTTCTTTTTGTGGAAGATTTAATGGCGATTCGGGAAAATGTCGGATGAAGCGTTTGAAATAGTGGTGTTCTTAAAAATTTATGTAAATGCGGGACCTTGTTCATCCCTGCTCCCACCTTGTTTCTTCGTGAATCTATTATTTGACTTCCTTCTCACACTCCCCTCACATCATTGTCTTCTCTCTCTCTCTCTCGTTCTTTCTGCCCTATTCACGGCTCTCTTGATAATTCCTCTCTTGAGTCACTCTCTGGCACGACTCTCTTGATAATTCCTCTCTTGAGTCACTCTCTGGTGGCAACGTGTTGCCTCTCTGCTCATTTTCTTTCTTTTGATCTCCAGTTCTCTATCTATTTGTTATGCTCCCCATCCTCTCACGGAATTATCTACTTTTTTTTTTATGAAATTACTTTTTTTTTTTTATTTGTGGCTTTCTCTTTTGCGGTTTAAAGTGAGAATTTGGATTTTGTTATTTCTAGCTTTCACATTTGCAGTTTGAAGTGTGAATTTGGATTTTATGATTTTTTGTTTTTTTTCTTTATAATTGGAATTTGGATTTTGCAAATTTATGACTGAGTGTCATATGGAATAGAGTTTTATATGTATCTTTGATGTTTGAGTGAGGATTTCTTGATTTGTTGATAGAAATGTTTTGGGTGCCCTATATGTCGTAGCCTCTAATGAAAAATATGGGGGTGAGGTTGTATCTTTACCTTTATTGTTTGAGTGAGAGTTTGAGAAATGGCTGAAAGAGAGTGCTTGTTTGGTTGATAACAATGTTTCAAATGCTCTGTAACAAGATCAAATGAAAAATATGGGTGGGGTACATTTGATGTTTAAGTGAGAATTTGAGACATGACTAAATGAGAGTGCCTAATTTAGTAGCCTCAAATAAAAGTCATGGGATGGAGTTTTATCATTACATTTGATGTTTTGAGTGAGAATTTAAGAAATGTAGTAGTATCAGATGAAAAATATGGGGTGAGGTTTTATTTTGACCTTTGATGTTTTAGTGAGAAATGGCTAAAACAACGTGCTTGATTTGTTGATAGCAAGTAACCGCATAACATAAAAATAACTTACATTGATTCATGCCTAAGTGGAAAAAGGTAGGTTACAAAACCTTTCACAAAAATATTGATCTCATAAAAAGATTCACATTAAAAAAAAAAAAAAAAACTTCTGATAAATTGGTCATTTCATAAAGATTCTCACATGAAAAAAACTTCATAAATAATCTTCTCACAGAAATATTCACATTATACAAATTTCATCAAACTTTGCATAAAGATTCACATAAAAAGAACTTCACCAAATCTCGTATGAAGACCCATAAGAAAACGAAAAAATATTACATCCGGACAACGGCCCGAAGGTAGCAGAGGAAGGGAGGAATAGGGCCTCCACCCTCCTCGCTGCATCCGGGCCGTTGTCCGGACGTCCGGAGTCCGGATGCAACATTTTCTCTAAGAAAAAAAAAACTTGGCATGCATATCACCCAAATCTTGAAAATCTTTGAAATAAAACCCATAAGCTATGAAAGTAAATGGAACTAAATTCCTGTAAGCTTCATTGAAGATTCTATTAAAAGTACATCACAGAGATGGGTGGTATGCATGCAAAATCTACAGAACAACGATGAATGAAGAGAATGGTAGAAATCATATGCAATCAAATGAAGAAGAAGAGGTTGGAGAAGGTTCTTACAATCAAATAAATGGAGGGGAAAAGAATCCATGTGGCTTTCGAGTGAATGTGGAAGAAGTGCTTTGAATAATTGGAGGAAGACGAAGATCCTCAAATTCACTCAATTGTTTAAACAGAAACATAATATAACTTCCTATAGAAATTCCTCAATAGGATATCTTCTCCCACCCCTTCCCCACCTCATAAAAAAAAGGAACAATTTACATACAAACCAACAAAAACTTCCTATTTGCAAATCAACCCCCCTCTTTCATCCATTGAGGGCTTAGTTTGCAAATATCAGTTTTGGATGGTCTGTATGTAATTATCCAAAATGAAGAAAAAAAAAAAACAAACGCACAACCGGTCTGAACCCGGCTCGCGGGCTCGCGACGGTTATTCTTTCCGGTCCGTCCGCGACCGTTAGCCTCTTCTCTCCAGGACCGAGTAAACCTCCACAAATCTCGGAGCCAGAAAAAAAATATATGGTCACGTATTTTCAACCAAGCTGTCCCCGTTTATACATTTTCCAAATCAAGATGCCTCTCCTTCCTTCCCATCCTCCTCCTTCCTAAACCCATCCCCCTCCCCCCTATCTCTCAATGGAGGAGGGGCCGCCCGCTCCCGCTCCCGCTCCTCGCCCCCCGCTACCACCCCATCCTGCCTCCCACGATAACGCCTTCTCCTCCGCCGTTGTCCACGCCTACCCGCCTCCCCTCACCTACATCGTTCAGGTCCCCAAAGATCAGATCTACCGCGTCCCGCCTAAGGAGAACGCTCGTCTTGTCGAAGAGTACCGCGCCCATTTCGCTTCTCTCCGGAAAAGACGCACGCCTTGCCTCAATTTCTTCCTCCGCTTCCTTTGCGTCTTCATCTCCATAGCGATTCCTCTTTTGGCCGCATCGCTCGTCTTCTACATCGTCGTTCGCCCGACTGCCCCTGTCTTCGATGTTGATTGTGTTGAAATGGAATCGAAGGCTCTGTTCGAGATCTTCATGGAGGTTAAGAACCCTAGTATTGGGATGGGATACTCGATCGAGAAAAGCGTAGGACGAGGGGTGAGGCTGAGTTATAAAGGGAAAGTCTTGATGGATGGAGAGTCGCCCGAGTTAGACCTGAAGGCGAAGGAGTCTAAAAGGTTCAAATTAGGGTTACACGGGGAGAAGAAGGCGGTGCTAGAGGAGGTGGAGGAGAGTCTGCAGGGATCGAAGAAGGCGGTGGAGCTAAAGTTGATGGTGGGGATGCCGGTGAGGGCGCAGATTTGGCGATTAAGGTTGTGGAGGATGAAAATGAAGGTGGAGTGCGATGTGAGGTTGAAGGGAATGGGGAAGGTGATGAAGGTGTTGTCTCAAGATTGCATGGTTGTGGTAGGGTTAGCGGGGTCATGAAATGGCTTCTTAAATGGAGAAGAAAATGAAACGAATTTGGTTCAAAAATATATGGCTTTATAATTTTAATCTGTAAGGAATAATGAATTTGAGTATTATTTTCAGATTCTAAAAGATTTTCTTGCAGATGTTATATAAATGTCTTATATTTTTGAAGGATTTTTTTGAGTTTTTCACATAAAATCTGTGAAATGCTCTTGATGTAATTTTTATTTTTGTTTTTAAATATTTGCTAATGATGTAATTTGGCTCTCGACCACATTGGTTGTGATGCTAGATTGCTTTGGGGAGATCATATCTATGTTCATCATATATTTGAATGAATTTTTTGGCCATCAGAGTATGAATGGAAATCTTTCTCCTGGTTTTATTTTTATTCTTTCATTGATAGTTTAATATAAAAGATCCACATAAAAATTACTAATTGACATATACGATTTAACAAATTATGTTCAAGATGATAGAAGTTCAATGATGATCTCATGAGAATTGGCCTCAATAATGCAATGCAATGTGGGTTGTTTGGTCGGGTGAAAAAATGAGTGCATTGCATTTTATTTCGCCGCAATAATGCAATGCATCCTTTTGTGTTATTCCAAATATATCGCCTCTACCTTTCTTCACGACTTGAAAACTAGCTGAATTTAAGTGTCAAATGTTTGGTAGATATAGATAAAATGCGAAGAAGAAGAAGAAGAATCAAAGAATAGAGGCGGAGATGAATCATATCATCAAACAGAAAGGTTACTACCCCTTGTGACTAGCTGTAGTACCTAACATTATATATACAACATAGATGATTCTAGATATATATGGTATAAAAGTAAAATGTTGGACATATGTAGTGGAGACAGTGCTGCATTAAGACTAGGTAAATTCATTATTATCCCCCAAGCTAATGCAGCTTGGCTGTAGTGTCATCTTGGTTCGAAGAAGTATAAAACGAGGTGTCAATAGAGACTTTGTGAATATATTGACCGGCTATTCACTTGTAGGGATATATTTAACTATCACTTCTTTGGAGAAAATTTTTTTCTCTAATGAAATGATAATCAATTTTGATATGTTTAGTGCATGCATGGATTTGCAGACAATGCTCTATATTTTTTTTTTCGGTCGAGGAATGACAAATGACGAGTTGTTTTTTTGACTTGTAAAATGATCAAATTTGAACCATGGAAAGAACAATAACTGGTGAAAGAACGATGACCTAGCGGATCACTTGTCGAACTGGAGTCGGAATAAATGTGAAGGAAAGTTCCTTGTGGGATTGGAAGCCAAAGTTTTAATATTCATTTAATGTACCGAAGAAGTCGCTGGAGTTATTGGAAATGAGCGCGTAGTGGTTGTTTCAATTGTTGAGAGAGCATATTAACCACAAAGTTTATGTCCAACATTGTAAGTGTTATGTATTTTACTTAATATTCATTTAATGTACCGAAGAAGTCGTTGGAGTTATTGGAAATGAGCGCGTAGTAGTTGTTTCAATTGTTGAGAGAGCATATTAACCACATAGTTTATGTCCAACATTGTAAGTGTTATGTATTTTAGAGAGCTGATTAGATGATGGTATTGATGTGGGTTAGCAAAGGGTCATTGCAATTCGGTTGTGAGAGGTTATGTTAATGCCATTTGATTTAGTTTGAGTTTACAATCTTCCATACATGTCTTTTTAAGAATCTTGGAGGCATAGTGAGTTTGATTGAGAAAAAGCCCATTAAAGTTTGGTTTATGCTAATTTCGAAAAATGTTGTGACGAAGCCCATCTTCTTCATTTGAGATTCAGTTTGGTGTGCATCAAGTAGGCTATTGATGGTTCTTGTGTTGTTCTCAGTCACCAAAGTATCATCAGCATACAAAAGAAGATAAGTTAAATTAGAGTTATGCTCTTATATGAAAAGAGATGGATTGGCTTGACTTTTGCAAAATCCAAGCTGAAGTAATTTGCTGGTGAATTTAGTAAACCACCGGCGAGGGGATTGCTTGAGAACATAAATGGATTTCTGTAGTAGACACACATGGTTCGGTTTATTTTTGTCAACATATCTCCTCGCTTTGTGCATATACACTATTTCCTGAAGTTCTTCATGAAGAAATGTGTTGGTGACGTCTAGCTAGAAAATAGGCTAACTCCAATGAACCAAGACTGTTAAGAGAGTTTGAATGATAGGGTGTTTAGCCATAAACTAAAGGTATCAGTGCAGTGCAAGGTAAATTCTTGTTTGTAGCCTTAAGGTACGAGGTGCGCATTGTACATACAGATGGTTCCATCAGATTGACACTTTATTTTGTACATCTATTTGCTGCTCAAAATGGATTAATTGGATGGTAGGGGGGGCAGGGACATCAGAATCCATGTGTCTTATTTGTGAAGTGTGTCAATCTATTTGCATAGCCTCCCTGCCAATGATTGTGTTGGATGACTGATTTAAGATTTTCTAGTTCTTTTTCATATTGTTGAATGACCGACTATTTTTGTAAATCAACAATTACAAGAATTTGATGACGCTACTAGAAGATTTAAATCCCCGGCAACGACGCCAAAAACTTGATTGCGACTTTATATATATATATATGTTTGATTTAATAAAGATGTATAAATATAATATTCAATAATGTTAAAGTCAAATTTGTCAACGCAAGTATACGTATCGCTCAAGTAATATAGGGCTCTAATGGAGTCCTAGATATCGATCCCACAGGGAGAAATA